GGGAGAGCATGGGGGGGCATGTGTCCCCCAGATCTGCACGTGGGGTGGGGTCGGCTGAGGCAGTGCCAGGCTCTTCCTGGTGGGGGTGTTGGGCTGGACTGAGCTCAGGCCAGGTGGCAGCGGCATTGGGAGTGAGGCTATGGGGGTGGTGGTGGTGCTGCAGTTACCTGAAAATTCGTTAGAGTATGGTCCAAACCCCTTTGTGGGGATGAGCCCAGTGCAGCCTTCCCCTCCCTCCTCCCCCTTCAGGGCATGGGGGCCATGGGCCCGGAATCTGCGCAGGAGGGGAGGGCGGGCTGAGGCTGGGAGGCTGCGCTGGGCTCTTCCCAGCAGGGGGTTGGGCTGTACTGTATTTGGGGAAGGGAGCAGCAGTGGCACTGGGAGGGAGGTTTGGGGGGCGGCTATGGTGAATTTCAGGGGGCTGCAGTCTCCCTATAGCCTGGCTCCTAGCACTGCCGCCGTCCAGCCCGAGTGCAACCTGCCCCAAGACCCCCACCAGGAAGAGCCTGGTACCGCCCTGGCCCCAGCCCGTGTGCAGATCCGGGACCGCATCCCCCCCATGCCCTCCCAGGCTGCGCGCCTCACCTCCCCATGGACCAGCCACTTGCAGCTCTGTCCCACACCCTGCCTCGGCTGTGCAGGGCCTGCCCCAGCACCACTCTCTCCCTCGCCGCCATGGCAGGGGGCAGACTGAGGCCCCAGCAGTGAGGGAGGGATTGAGGTACAGGCAGGAGCAGGGGCCGGGGGAAGTGGTGGACAAGCAGAGACCTGGGGGACATGTGCCCCCCAGGCCCCTGTTTGTTCTGCCACCCAGCCCAGCCAGGGCCCCACTTCTCCCTGCCCCTGCCTGTGCCCCGCACCACTGGGGCCTTGATCTGCCCCGTCCCCCACAAAGCCCTTTCCCCTCCCCACCACCCCTTCCCCCCACAGACTTACCTGCTGGGGGGAGGGTCCGCCTTTGAATAATTTTTTTCTTCCTCTGCTTTGATCTGCCCCCACCTTTCCCTCCCCACAGACTGATCTGTGCGGGGGAGGGAGAGGGTGGCACACAGTGGATCCTGGGTTGCTTTCTAATTCAAAAAATGATCTCCTAGTTGAAAAGGTTGGAGATCATTGGTCTAAAGCTTTTGTGAAGTCAAATAAGGTCACAGAGAGGCTTATGTTGCTCCCAACATTTCACCTGCAGCTGGCAAGGTGCGAAGGTCATGTCAGTTGTGCCTTTTGATGCCCAAAATCCACACTGAGATTCCAGGAGAAGCTCTTCAGCAAGTAAAGGGAGATGGTTCAGAAGGGTTCTCGCAATGGATTTTTCTTGCAGTAAACAACAAGGTGATCCCCTCTGTAACTTCCACAGTTGCATTTGTCTCTTTTCTTGAAGATTGTTATAATCACAGCATCCCTGAGGTCATCTGGGATTTCCTCATCATTCCAAATCCTTAAAATGAGACCATGAAGCTGTAATATGAGCTTCTCTCCTCCCTGTTTTAAAATTTCAGTGGGGATTCCATCCGTTCCAGATACCTTGCTGTTCTTCATCTGCTTGATGGCTTTCCTCAACTCATCAAGGGTGGGAGGGATTCTGAGATCATCTGACTGGGTGTTGTGGGATGAAGGTTGAGAACATTTTCATCAACGGTAGTCTCAGCTGAGAAGGTCTTCAAAATGCTCCTTCCAATGGGCATTGATGGCTCCTCTTTCCTTGATCATATCTAGTCCATGCTTCAGTCTCAAGGGGGTTGGCCCCCGAGTGCTCAGACCGTATATGGATTCAGTGGCACTGAAGAAGCCGTGCATATCGTAGATGTCAGCCAGATGCTCAATCTCCTTAATCTTGTCTTCCCACCATTTGTTCTTGATATTGTGAATCCACCTTCGGACCTCTGCCTTGGTTTGTTGGAGATTCAATTTTTTTTTCTCAGAGTTGCTGTCATTTTGCCGAGCACAAAAGGCCTTGCGCTTGCAATCCATCAACTCTTGGCTCTCCTGGTCACTCAAACGTGTCTTGATGCTTCCTGGTAGAGAATCCAAGCGTCTCTTCACAGGTACAGCTGCCAAATCACACTCCTATCTCAGCAAGTGCTAGACAGTATTCTTGTAACTGTTGCCTTCATGCCAGTTCATGACTAGGAGCTTCCAGGCCTCACAATCCTGCTCCCGTTGCCATTAGTTGTTCACCAAAGAGTTTGAGAAATGTGCTGGCATGGAACACACCTGTGCAGCAGAACGAGATCCCCAGTTGTCTTTGTCTCCTTGCCATTGGATCAAGGTCCTGTTCCGTCAGGAGCCATGTGGAAGCTGATGTGCAGCAGCTTCTCCACAATAAAAGTCATCACGGACAGGCTGCCAACTAAACATCAAGTAATTGATCACTACCTTCTAAGCCCAAGATCCAGTCAGTTTTCTATCCACTTGACACTCCATTCATCCAACTCATATTTCCTTAGCTTGTTTGCGAGAATATTGTGGGATACCATATCATGGAGGGAAGGAGGAGGGAAGAGATCAGACTTGCCGCTTTTCTTGCGCTGAGCTGCTTTCCTGGGCTGCTGTCAGGCTGCCTGCAGGGCTTCCTGCAGAGCTGTGGAGCTGCACGGAGCTTGGTGCTTTGCTCCATGGCTGTAGGGGCAGCAAACTAAAACTCCTTCAAGGAGTTTTAGTTTGCTGCGCCCAAAGTTATTTAAGGTGCATTACACTGACAAATTTCCTACAGTGGCTGGAATTAATGTCAATACACTGCCGAGGCATGCAAACACTGACACCATTAAAGTGGTGCAAATGCATTTAGCCTGCTTTGAAGTGGCGTGCACACATGCCTCTCATTTCGTCTACACACAGCCTTAGTCTCTAGTATAAGAAAATGCAAGGAATGAAGTGCCATCTTTTGCTAACTTACTTTAAGGAAATAATTATTACTCAGTTTTGTCTTAAAATCTTTGCTTTTTCAAGGTCAGGCAAAGGTGCCAATAAATTGGGTATCAGTATAGCATAGTAGATATGGCATCTATTAATAGAATGGCAGATTTTACTGACCAGTTGAAATAACTGTTTCAGATTTCCCTTAGTCAGTCTAGTTCCCATCACCATTAAGCTAATTTATCAGCCTTTGATAAATCAAAGTGCAGGATTAAAACATCACCACTACTTAAAAATGCAAGTCTTTGAAGATTTTTGTAACACCCACCTCAAGTACTTGACAGTCAAAGTCTTCATATTTTTCTGTTGGGAGAAAAGAAACAAGTATGCAGTTAATTTATGTATCCAATTATCTGGCAATACAGAACTCACCAGGTGATATTACTTTGCAAATGGTGGCAACTTCTTATACAACTCTAGTTTATAAATCTCTGCAGCAAGTTACTTAAGCATAGCTTGCAGCACCACAGCACTAAAAATTAGGCCAAACACTTGCCATTGTTTTGATGATCTGCAAAGCTATTTTGAAATGTGACTGAGTTTATTCATCAATGGAATTCATCATGGCACTAAATAACACAGATTAACATCCAACGTCCATTTACCTACATCTCAATCAACATCGTATACAACATTACCTGCTTATAGTGCCCCTCTACTGTCTACATTGGATGGGGTGATCCCTACACATAAGAATGAATGAGCACTGATCGGACATTGATACCAAACAGACAGACAAGTCTATGGCAGAATACTTTAACCTACATGGACATTCCATCTCTGGGCTCAGAGTGGCTGTTCTTAGGTAACAAAACGTCAACACTGAACTTGAACAGAAAACTGAAGACCAAAAATTTATCCATAGATTGGATTGCATTACATATGGTTCAAACGGAGACTTCAGATTCTTACCCCATTACCTGGATTAGCTTTTATAACCCATATGAACCTTGGTGAGTGAACTGCTTTTTTTCTCTCCTACTCACCTTTTCCCTCCCAGGAGTGCTCCCTCCTCTTTTCTCTCCACTTCCCTATCCTTTGTATTCTAATCACTGCTTTCTATTTAGCA